ATTCTTTTATTGGGATTTGTCTCGTAGTACGAGAGATAAATGTCTTGGAGTAAAGTAAAGTACATGTACATTGACATTAGGATATTGTGCACTGTTTGTTAAATTACACCAATCTTTGAATGTTCTTCTCCAATACCACTATTAGCCTACTCCTAGACAATACCCCTGTTGTGTTGCTGGTCTGCAAGTATTCATTGAGCAAATTACTTTTATAGGTTCAAAAATAGCGAACACGGCCAGTACATGACGCGTGGACAGTACGGAATAAATGATATTGAAATTTTGAAATTTGATCATATTAATTTGGTTATCAATTATATTTGTAGGGGGTTCGACCACATGTTCAACTACACTTTGGAAAATAAACAAATTTAATGTAACTCCACTTAATTCACCCAGATGTAAAATTAAAAAGAAAAAGTTACGGGAGAAACCTAAAATTACAAACCAATTCACCAACAAAAAGTACTACCACCGTCAGCGAAGGACATGGGGGTAATATACCCCAAGTACCCGAGGCTATGGGTGGACCGCGGTGTAAATACCGAGGTCGGTTGAAAGGCTTTTTGCAGTTGTAGTGAACAAAAGCGAGAATGGTTTTCTATAAAGGTTTGTATAGCTGCATGGAGTGGCCAAGTTATTCGACCTTCGTAAACAAAACAAAAAAGGTGCAGGGTAAAGAAGGAATTTTACGGTGCTATTTTAATACAAAAGGTGTAAGTTTAATGCTTTTTTCGTTCTTGTTTGCACTCCTTGGAAGGCACAATGATATCAAATTCAGGCTTTTAAATTATTATGTGAATACACACGTATCACTTTTTGAAGTTGTTTTCATAAATCGTTGTTGATAATGATTTCACTTTACATGGCTGGTTTTTCTCGGAATGTTGCGATGTTCTTGTATTAAGGACGTACTCAAAACTCTATCCCACAGAACTATGCAACTGAAGGTTGCAATAACTTATAAATATAATTGTCAAAGGTTAATTTGGTAAAAATGGATTTGTACACCAACCAATGTCAGGGACAAACATAGACCACAAAGGTGACTGCTAATGGCACGGAAGTGGAATGTCGGGGATGGTGGTGGGTCATTGTGCCTTAATTGTCCCGGTGAGACAACGTGAGTGTCCGGCTTGCCCGGTCAAGAATAACACGCTCCGTGACTAGACTCCGGTCCCAAGTTCAGCTTTCTGGACCTTGCCCCTCGGTTCACCCGTCCGTGCACGGACCCGTGGGTCCACTCACAAAACCCCGGGGCCTTGTGTCAACAAATTAAATGACCCCCTCACAAGTGGTGTTGACCATTAAAATGTTTTCATATATCGGTGAAAAAAAGAAAAGACTTCCCCTTGTTTGTTTAATATAATGCTTGGTCCAGTGTGTCACGGACAACGTGTGCCTGTATACGGGCACCCACAACGTGCCCTTGGGGTCAGCTGGGCGGAACGTTGACGGTCATTGTCAGGGTCGGCTTGGTCTGTGACGTGTGGTCACTGAGGGTCGTACCCCACAACAACGGAGGGGTTTACCTCCCAAAAGAGCTACTGTACAGTACAATGCGGTGATGTTGCCGCACTCGCTTAGCTCGTGAAGAAAAGGATTTCAGCTTTGACGAATTGTGTTTTAGTATAAACTCTTTTTATTTACTTGTGCCCGATCACCACACAATCAAATTTCATAATTTTCATATCCATATCTCAGGATTGGGGTAATAGCCTATATTCGCATCAATCCCTTTTCTAGTCAAATTCCTAACGTCCAAGTTATGTTCCTCATAGTTCTAGTTTCGTTCAATTTGTGTTCGGAGATCCGCAGTGCTAGTGGCGTATCCCATTATAGCGACACATTTGGGTGTTTTCTTTTGAGAAAACGAAAGCCAGCACCTCACAACCACTAGTATTAGTTCCTTCCCCCGATCTTTTACTCATTTTTACGAACGACAAAAATGAGTGGGCTATTTTTTTTCCAGAACGATTACACATTTTGCCCCTCTGGGTCCAAACGCTGGATATGCTACTGGAGTTCGTCACACTAACACGGTATACTATAATACACATAACTTGTTTTCGCGCGTAAACAGAATGAGCTACGGTGATGAGCATAGGACGGTGATAATGGCAGATCTCAGAGAAAAAAAAATCAGAGTACATTTCCTTTTTTTCTCTGGCTTGTCTAGCTTGTTTTTTTTGTGTGGGATATTTACAAGCTTCCGGGCAGGCCCGGAAGGGGGAATTGCGCGGCCTCTGAGGAGTCTCAGAGGAGGTCACATCCGGAATCATCTTGACTTTCTCGCAGCGCGGCGGGAAATTTGATGGTTGACTTGCCACAGTACTTGACAGCAAGCGGCCACGAACCTTCCTGCGGAGTACACTTGGGACGTGCAAGAGAATAATGTTAACTGCAGACTGATAGAATGTTCCATTGCAGTTTCAGAGTAAAGGGCACAAGCCGATAAATTGGCCCGGAAATAGGCACCATTTGCATGCCCTCAAATTCTTCGGTACCGTATTAGAGCATTTTGTGGGCCATGAACTTGAGGGTTTGTAAAAAAAAAAGAAGGGTGGAAGCCGTGCACAGGACTGTTAGCTTGTATTTCTTTGAAATTTGGATGAAATTGGGCCCTAAAAGCGTTTTATTCTGCAATGGAGTGTAGGCATCGTTTTTCAAAATGGCGATGGGCTTTAGGAGTATTTTTAAAGGTGATCATCTTCGGATGGAAATTTCTCCCAAAAGTCATCGGCTTACCCCCAAGAATTGAACAGAAAATGAAAGATGATGAAATAAGCTTTAATTTGATGTGTGTCTTGAACACCTTAGAGAGTTGTGAGTATTTTTTTCTGAATTTCTGAAGTGGGAGCATTTATCATTGGGATCTATTATGACAGTTTATTTACTGGACATGTAACCAGAGGGGCGCAGAAGACATAACGTTATGGCGCCCTCTACTGGCGTGGCATTCAATGTAAACGAGAAGGCATAATTCAAATCTTGCTTCCGCAAAGTTGACACTCGTTCCTGTATCGCTCAAATAATCCATCCCGCTCAAAGTCATTCACTCATGCTCACTTTATTTAATCCGCAGAGCTTTTCCACTTAATTACCGTTTTCCAGTCCTTCTGTTGTGGGAAATCCTTGACATAGGAATACCTCCCTACAGTAAAAAATTACCACTTCCGTAACGTGATTAGCAGAATTTGGATCGCTAATTGATTCAGCTTGGTTGTTTTGAAAATTAGTTTTCGAGTTAGGCCCATACTGTTTATAAAAAGCTAAAGTGGTTTTGTGAAAATATAGGCAAGCACTTTTTATGAAGGAAAGTTCCAATTTGGGAAACATTCACATGGAAGCGACGCATCGCGTCGAATGTGAATCGATGACAGGCCATTACCATGTAATAATTAAAGTCACCCATGTTGACGAGTTGTCGGATGTCGCTCTTTCGGATGTCGGGGATTGCTCTGCGGTTTACCCAGGGGAAGTTTTCAATTGGATTTTATGCGTTAAATTGGCTGTTCCTTTTATTTTCATCCTGCGCGTAAATCCCCTTTCCGGGTGCTGCGAGCTATTGCAATGTTTACAGGGTGAGTAAAAAAAAAAGCCAAACCCAAAATGTCGGGACTATTGTTTTACTGAAGTTCTGCATGTAGTACTTTCAAAATTTAGGACATGAAAGCCCAATTCATAAGCTTTCTTGTAGTACAAAAATCATTCAAATCACTCATGTACTTTTCAAGTTACGAAATTTTAAACACAACCACCGTTTTCAAGTTCTGCCCACGCATCACAAAAAAAGTGTGTGTTCTTTCAGCAAAACGAAAACAATTCACACACATCCCTCTGTGATTTGTTTTCGTTTTGCTGAGAAAATACTTACCTTCTTGTGATCAGTGGACAGAACTTTTAAGCGGTGGTTGTGTTTAAAACTCCGTAACTTAAAAAGTACGTGAGTGATTTGAAAGATTCTTGTACTAAAATAAAGCTTATGAATTGGGCTTTCATATCCTAGATTTTGAAAGTGCTACATGCAGAACTTCACTAAAACATGGTCCCAACATTTGGGTTTCGTTTTTTTTTACTCACCCTGTATACCTGAATAATATACTCTGACATGCGCATTAGGTATCCGGGCCAGCAGCTATGAAACGAATACGAGGTTCTCATTGGAACTACAACCGTGAAGCGAAAACAGTCGTTTGCAAAATTGTTTATCCAAGATAATTTTACAGCCAACTTTATTTACAGCATGTCACTTTGAAACAATTATTGTTTCATGTCGGTTCCCCTTTTGTTTCGCAAGGGGAAACGGAAGCATTTCTAATCGTTTGCTTTGTTACTGTTTTTAGAAGTCGATATTGTTTGCAATAACAATATGCTTTCCGAGTAAACAGCTCTTTTGTTTCGGTCATTGTTAATTATAGTTTCATGAAAACCACAGTGGAAGAGAGGGCATGAGCAGGTGCATTATTTGCTCTCAAAATAAAAACAATAATAGGCTTTGTTTGATTTCCGTATAGGAAACTTTGAACTCAGGCCGTGTCATGAGCCACATCCGAACAAAACTTCACCAAATCCGGTCATTTTGGTCGCATGGCATCAATGGTTTTTCACCACAGTGACAATGCATCATTGTTTTCACAATATATACAACATACAACAACTACCCCAATAGTGACCATTGTGTACATAAGTGGCCAGAATAAAACTGATCCGCCCGTACATAGTGGCCGCAAGCAGCCATGATTGTGAACTTTTCTTATCTTCCACCACATATGAAAATCTAGTGTTTCTAAAATTATATAATACAGTTCAGGAACATAGCTTTCAAAAACAGGTGCATATGTATTGTTTAACAACGACATTTCCACTTTGATGTCACAGAATTTGCCTTGTTTAAGGCATTGCTGCAATCAAATACTCGTATTTTTTTCTCCACTCAGTCACAAATCAGTGAAAACTCATACCATACTTTTTTTTGTTTTGTTTCTTGGCTATTACAGGTGGTTTTGTTAAATTCTTCCGAGAAAATCCGTCCATGTGTTCGGCCTCCTCGGACCAGGTCCAGGCCCAGGCTCGACCCCCGATGGAAACTGAGGAAGCACTGCCTGCCGGATGCGGAGTTGCCCCGGCACCGTCCCTGCGCCTCCAGAGGCTGACCAGATGCGCCACCGTGCCTCTTGCCATGGTGCCCCCCTCTGCTGGTGACGCTGCCTCGGTACCTCCGGCTGCTGCTCGGACCATCCCCGTCCACCAGGAGGGGGAGCCCGTGCAGATTCTGCCCCACCTGTACCTGGGCAATGCCTTCCACGCAGCCCGCCGGGATCTGCTGGAGGCGCACGCCATCACGGCCGTGCTCAACGTCTCACGCTGCGTGCCCAACTACTTCCTCGCTGAGGGCGCCATTACTTACAAGAGCATCCCCGTGGACGACGATAACGAGGCTGACCTGTTGTCGTGGTTTCCCGAAGCAATCGATTTCATAGGTGAGTTGAATTTTGTTGTATTTCTTCTTGTAATGCTTTTTTTTTTCATTCCCCCGTACGCTCGACACATGCGCACACGAGTGCAGTGATCATTGAGGTTATCTACACATACAATGTACTAAAATGCCAACAAGGCGTAAAGCATTTCCTGAGAATAATTTAGCGAAAGAGGTGAACGGTCACCAACGCTGTTCCTTGCATACACTGGTGTTTGTAGGAGCAAAGCTTGGAAGTGGCGTCGCTAGAGGGGGCCGGGTGGGGGTGGGGTGTGAAGACACCCGATTTTTTTTTCTGCAAAAGCGTTGTCCTTTCGGCAAAATTGAAGAAGAGCCTATTGTGAGATTGTGTCCATGATCGTCCACTTTGAACAGCACTCTCTATTGGAAGATGGTGGTCCGCCCGCCCCCCCCCCTTGTTTTTCAATTTTACGGAGGCCAGGTATTACCGAGTTAAAATCCTGTCTACCTTTTATGGTTTGTCGACAAATTTGTTGCCCCCCACCCTCACACACACCCATGTATGCAAGGTTAGAGCATCAAGTAGTCTGGCAACGCTCCTGGAAGTCTTTTCTACATGTGTACGTGTGGCATTGTCGGTTGATATTTAGTCTTTTTACCTTTTTGTAGATGCCGTCAAGTTGTCTGGTGGTTCGGTCCTGATCCACTGTCGAGCTGGCATCAGCCGCTCAGCCACCGTCTGCCTAGCCTACCTCATGAAGGTGCAAGCCATGCGCCTAGAAGAAGCCTTCGAGTTCGTCCGCAGCCTGCGTAAGGTCATCTCTCCCAACTTCTCCTTCATGCTGCAGCTGCTCAAGTACGAGTCGGAGCTCAAACAGGAGCGAGAGGTAGCGGGCCTGGGCGGGGCTGTCCTGCCCGGCCGCGACTGCCACACGCCTCACGACTTCAGCCGTACCTTGCCGGCGCTCTTCCCCGGCGCCCGCCGGACGCGCAGCGCGTCCCTACCCTGCCTGGTGCATGGCGGATTGTCCGAGAAGCCTCGCCAGCAGCTCCCCCAGTCCAAGTGTCCCTCCGTCTTTAATTTTGCAATAGCGCCCCCGTGCGGCTGGCAGCAGCCCGATCATACTCAGGGCGCCAAGCCGATCTGTTCGCCCTCCTAATTGTTGAGTAATAAGCAATCGAAAAAATCGAGAGAGAAAATCAGAAAGTTCAACTTCTCTATACGCTGCTAGCTCGTTTGTTGCATTGTAAATGCTGCCTTATTGGTGTTATTTAAAGTGATTATTTATTTATAACAGAAGAAAAAAATGATGTTAAAAGATAAAGTTATTTATATTCGAGCCACACTAGCGAAACTGTTGATTTGAACGACGCTAAAAGCTTAGGGAGACGTTCAGCAGTAGTTTATTTAAGATTTTACAACTTAAAAGTGTTATACTTTAACGAAGTAGAAGACCCAACCGAAATGTATTGCTTTTTGTTATTTTCCTTTGTATTTTTTGTATTGTAACACGATTTTTATACCCGAAAAGACTTGTCATACGAATGCTATTATCTCGTTATATTGTATTGATATTGTGAAAGTAATTTTTGCATACATTTTTGTTTTGAACGATTGTGTTTGTTTTAATACTTCAATTCACGCGCATATTTGAAAACTGGGTGATCTTACCCGTCAGTTTTAACACTGTGGTTACTTCCTTGTTGTTCATCCAAGTTTAAAGTATTCCTGTTTCAGTTGTTAAAATACTGTTTGAAATCATAAGAAGATTTTGTGCCCTTTTGCATTTTTGCAATTTATATAAACATTCACAGATTAACTGTGTGCTTAACATGTGCGGCAAAATTTAAAGAAATACATGTACACCACGTCAGGGGAAATAGTGTAATCGCTATGTGGTCGATAATTATACGTACACGTATTCGCTTTTTCTGATATGTTTAATGTATTCACACTTCACAGAAAAACCAACAACCGCAAACGCTTACAAAGCATTTAAAGTCGTGAAACAAAAACTGAGGAGATACAGAAATTTGAAGCCAGTCTTAAACTCCTGTCTTCTTTCACGCGATCTTGATTTCGTTTTCATTAAAAAAAATAATAAAAAAGTCACTGAAATATTTGTAAGTATTGGTGCCGCCATTTTGTATGGCAAAGGTTGTGACGTGGGCACTGCAGTAGTGAATCTGCCTCGTGGTTTCCAGTGCGTTCTGCGTACATCGTTAAATATCATTGTTTAATCTCATGCTCGTATGACATGATCCGATCATTTAAAATCATAATCATTTCGAAGCTGCGAAGAGCATTTTCTCTGGGTCGTTGACATGCCCATTGTTTTGTGTGAAAACCCATAAGGTTATATTATGTTGGCTGCCGACTTAATTATTTGTACCGATTTTGTGCAATTTTGTACTCGTTTCATATAGAGCTTTATACAATGTTTTGGAAGACCGTGCTACTCCATTTCATCGTTTTTGTACAGGTTATTTGTTCACAATCACTTGCCGTAATTATGGTTGACTTATAATAAGTGTTTTTATTCATTTTTTTTTTTAATGTTAGATGGACACTCCGAATTTTAGGAGGCGGTTTTTACTTGGATACAATAAGTTTAAATTAATTATTGTGATTACTTATTTTTATGGATCGGGGCCCAATTTTAACGCTTAGCAATAATCACGGAATTGTGCGCTTACGATCATTATTACAATTGTATACTAACAGCGCTAACAAAGACATTTTGTGTTTAGCCCATGAGCACGATATCCGTAGTGCCGCGATGTACGCATGCGCACAAGATAACATTATTTGCTAACTTGCATTATGCTTGCCGTTATGCTTACCGTTATGCTTACCGTTTTGCTGTTGTAAGCGGGGCTATTATGCTTACCGTTTTGCTGTTGTAAGCGGGGCTATTTTGCTTACGTTAAGCAGAGCCTAGAAATTGGGCCCGGGTTTGTATTGAGAATTGTATTATTTTTTATCAAGAACGACTGTTTAAATGGTGTAATAAACAATTATGTTCCGAGCAAGAATTCTATCACTCTGTTTATGAGTTACATGTTTGTCGTGGGTTTCTATTGTGGGAAGTATGGCCATTTGTATCGTTCCAATCTGTTAATGACTGGCTCCCCTAATAATGCCCCTAAACCCAACTATAGACGTATAGAGAATTCCAGCAAATAACGTCGTTTTTCATGCAGCGAAGGGATCCCAATTTTGCTTTACCCCTTGTTTTTAATACAAGCTTTCGTGTAGCATCTAACCTATAGCCGTTTTTGATGAGTCAGCCATTTTGTATCTTGTTCACGAAATGAACTTATTCAAATGTCAATGACTCTGACCTCAAGTTTCCAGACTATTTTGTGATGATCGCATTTAAAAGAAAGATGCATTAATTTGTGAAAACAAAACACGAAATGATGTTTCATTCATATTCTCAACAGTTCGCGACTGCGCAGTAATAACTACCTGAATAATGTCGTTTGCTCTACGCCTATCTTGTTCCATAAAGTAAATACAGTAAACTCCGGCTAAGACGGCACATGTATTAACAATCATATTTTGAGCAAATATGTAAACATAAGATTTATATGCATATAGTGACAATTTACTGTTCGATATCAGCAAGTCCCAAGCCATAGTTTTGGGTCGGGCGGGGGGAGGGGGGGGGGGGTATAAAAAAATTGGCCTCATTTTTTTGTGAGTACAAATTTACCGACAGACCATCCGTGCTGGTATAGAAAGGAAGGTTTTCTATCACTCGGCCGCCGCAAAAAAAATAAAAAAATTAAAAAATGGGGTTGGACACTCTCTATTGGGGGCGCTGTTCGAGACGGACCATTGTCGAAACTATCGAATACTACTATCGACTAAAGTCTAGTAGCGGCTGTAAGGTGCTGCCTCTTTGGTTTTCATTTAAAAATATAAAAAGGCAAATATTGCCCCTCCCCACCCGCTAGATATGCCACTGGCTTTAGAGTTTTATATAACATCATAATTATTGATATTATAATATCAACTTTAGCAAGATATAGTTGTGTGAACGTTCATGTTATACAGTTTAAAGATCTTTCCAATTAATATAATTTCGTGATTAACTCGGCGTTTTCTAGCCATTATTTGGGCGCATTCCCTCCACAAGTGCCCCTTTAAGTTATCTAAAAGAGTCATTGTGTTGCAAAAAGCCTCCATTTTGAATCAGTTGTGACGAATCCAGAAGACGTCGGCTGAATACAAAATATATATATGCATCCAAGGATTATAAAAGAAAAGTAATGCCGCTTTTATCCACGAAGCTCACTCCTATGTAAATCGCTCAAACAGGAGTTGAATGTTCCTGGTTTGTGTTTTGGGTCTCAATACGCCCTACAGATCCCACGTTAACCTTTGAACAGGTTTCCCAGAAGCTGATATTTCTGTTTCGAAAACTGTTTGACGCTTGCGAATATGCTAATGTTCTTTCGTTTTGAAAGAATAATAATTATGCTTTCGATGAAATTGGCATTGGTAATACATACTTCAATTATTCCAGTTTCCTTGTCAGTGCTCGGGCGCAGCTACAGGAGTGGCATACCTTTGCTTCGTGTTAGTTATTCAATTTTATACTGTTTAGGAGCCCAAAGTCTAGTTGGTCAAGCAATCTTTATTCCATCATCATGGCGATGTCAGTTCTGCTGCTGGTGGTGGCAATGTCGATGAGTCAACTGGACCATACCGCATCGGCAATGGAAGGTGAGAGGATTTGGGGGCAGTGGTTCGGTCCATCGCAATCAGGCCCGGATTACCCAATAGGCACAAGGGCGGATCCAGGGGGGGCCAAAGGGGGCCATGGCCCCCCCCAAAACGAAACCATTTTTTTTTGTTTTTATGTGACATCGCAATAAAGGCAGGCAATGAGTACACCACCATCTTTTCCTCAAAAAAACATTGGTTAAAATGGTCAGAAATTGCCTCAGATCGCACCACAGAGCTTCTAGAATCCAAAAAATTTTCAGGGCCCTTAAGCGGGCCCCGAACCCCACGCCGTAATTTTTTGGACCAACTTTTTGGGGGGACCAAAATTTTTTTGGGCCCCCTCCAAAATTGTGTTCTGGATCCGCCCTTGAATAGGCACAGTAGGCACTGAGCTTAGGGCCTACGAAACATTTGGGGGCCTACGACAAATTTTGGGGCCTACGAAAACTTGGGGGAGGGCCTACGAAAATACCGCAGTGTGCCATAAAACACATAGGCCTACTCACACACAACCACACGCGCAGAGAAAAGTTTTAAAAAGACTTTTAGGGTCTCTCTCAGAATTTTTGATTTCACCAACTGACACTGTACAACATGTATGCATAGGCCCTACGTATAAAATGCACGTGTAAAGTCTGTCGTTCTAAAGCACGGTGCCAACCATGGGCGTCGATCGGTGGGGAACGGGGGGACTGATGTCGTTCCCCAACGATTTTCGTCCCTGAATAAAATACGTAGCCTACATTTGATTCTATAGCTCAGAACAGCTGATTTAATGACTCCAAACTCGAAAAAGATGTTTAAATTAAATGATGATCTTGTGCTAAAACTTTGGCAGTCGTCAGAAATTGCCTCAGATTGCGCCACAGGGCGCCTAGAATCCATTTTTTTCAGGGTCCCTTAAGCGGGCCCCGAACCCCGCGCCGTTTAGGCTTCGCACTCGCACAATTACAATGAAGTGATCAAGATACACATGTATGTACCACCCCCACTTTCAGAAGCAAATGACGCCCTCGAGAATTGGTGCCAACAGGCTGTTAGAGCTAGGACCTATACCAGTTTGGCCTGGCTTGATTTGTACAACCCCCCCCCCCCCCCCAACAAAAGTGTGTTCTGGATCCGTCCTTGTACCCCCACTCCAAATAGGCCTAATCTATAGCCACAGATTTTTATTATGTGTTTTTTTTGACAGGGACATTTTCGGTTCATATAACATGATTTTTCCTTGTGTATCCAACTTCAGGCGTTGATTACTCATAACATGGTTTTGGGGGACATTCCTCATTTTGCCACATTAGGTCACAAACGTGCCCCCTCAAGATGAAAATGAAACTGCCCTCAAACGCACATGAAAGCATTATGATCGCGTTTGAAAATGATTTCCTCTCTTGTAATGCAAAAGTGCCCCTCAAAAACACAAAAAAAACCTCGCGCATATTAACAAGATTGTGAACCTTCTCGAGATGGAAAACTATCCCTCGATAACACGAATGACCCCTCTCGCAATAAAAAAATGTGCCCCTCTCAAAATGGAAAACTGGGCTATAAAGAAACAATAGTGCTCCTGCCTGACGCTTTTAAAATTTAATGTAAACATTTTTAAAAGTCTATATCAATGTTGGTAGTAAATTTTGCTCTTGGTAACATAATTTCCTTGCAAAGAGAACGAAAATAGTTTCAAAATTTTCTCCTCTTTCACACCGACGGAAGGTGCCTTTTTTCTGAGCAAATGCCTTTTTTGGTGATGCCCCCAGTTTTAAAAACGTTCCGCCGCCGCCGATTGGCGTATTACATGTGCAGGTGTTAGTAAAAATTATACTCGTTTGTTAAGTACACAATACGACCCCAATTTAGATCGTTCAGTCACCAAAGGTTCATGGATTTGCTTTGTTTCATCTCAAAGGCCTTTTCATGACCGTAGACTTGAGTCAAGGCGTATGGCAACCCGTACACGAAAAGAGACCGTGCGAGTGGCAGGCTCGTTGGCTCCGTGCGCCGTCATCAGGGGCGTATAATTCCCGGGGTGGGAGTGGGGTGGGGGTATATAACCCCCACACTTTTTGACCGCGGGGATGGGCTATTGAAGCATCCCCCACTTTTTTGTGATGCGAAAAACATGAGGATTTTGAGGTATTTTCCGAACGTCCCAGCAACTAAAATGTATTCAATTGCACTGGAAAGTGGAGAAACAAAGTACAACAGCTTTTAAAATGCGCCGTGTTTTGTCGACCGTAATTTGAAAAACTGACTCTCCATGGCAAACTCTTGGTGGCGCACTGCATTGTGAATGGCCCGAATTTTATGATTTTGGTCAACCCCATTATGTTTTAAATGCAAAGAGAAAGCATCTACCGAAACAGCCTAGTTGTTAAGCTGTTTGACAGCGGACCCAGGGTAAGGGGTTCGAACCCGGTTGGTGTCATTTTTTGGTTTTCGATGCCCGCGGTTCTGTCATTTAAGAGTATTAATTTCCCGTCGTCATTTACCAACAGCAGTTAGCTCGGTCGGTCGGTAAGCTGACTCACAAGTTGGGACTGTCTGTGAAGTCCAGGTTGGCATCTGCGTATAGGTACGGGGTTATTTTGCTGACTCGGCAGCAAGGCTTAGGGTGCCACCTCGTTTCCTCCCTTTATGGTGCCTGACTTTCGAGTTACATGGATGGACAGGGAAGGAGGTGTGGTGGGCCGGGTACCGAGTCCCGGAAGAGTTCTATATTGGAAGTCGGTAAGGGGCTCATTGAGTTAGGGTCATAAGTCCGACTCCTGAAGACTTGGCCATCGCCACATAACATTTTGTTTTATTTTTCTTTCTTTTCTATATCGGAGGAGAATTGCAAGAATGATTAATTTGTTATATTGAGAGCTTGTACTGTAATCGTTCGAAATAGTTTTTTTAAATTGCTCGAAAATACAAAATTCAATCCAGCTACCATGTTTTTATTTCATTGTCGCAAAACTGCATGTACATGCTCAGTACCTTTGCGCATACCTTGTTCAGGCCTGTTCCCTGATCCCAGACTGCGGGGGGGGGGGGGGGGGGGGGGGGGATGTTCACAGCTGTATCTGTCAACCCCCGTTTATGAAGCGACCTCGCGCGGCAGCTTGTGCCGACATGACAGAATGTACAATCTTTTGACATGGGTTTCAGAACTGGACTTTAGCTTCGCGGAGATTTGAGCAGCGGTGTTTATTATTTACATTCTCTACTTTGTTCTTATTCCCTCTTCCTTTCCCCTTCCTTCTCCATTCTTCGGAACACTGGTGCCTAGGGCGAAACAATCCGGGCCTGATCGCAATTCCCATCACAATTCCATGACTTTAAGTCATTCAGACACCAGTTGTTCAAATGAACTTTGGCAGTGACTTTCTTTTGTTATTGTTCACCCCTTGTAATTGTGACTGGACTTGTGACTTGATTTGTAATGTAAACTTGAGATGGACTCTACAACAACACTAGCGGTATGGGGAATTTTTTTTCAAAACATTCATCCATGTTTTTGTCTTTGTGTTCTATAAATTATAGGTTATAAGCTTCGGTCCAAAATTTGGGCCACCGGTACCGAATGATCGAAAAGAGCAACGCTCATAGCAATTTTTGGCAAGGTATACACATCTAGAGTTGGAAAATGTGTGATAGCTTTGCAGTGTGAGCGGTGGCAGGTTTTTTTTTTTGTGTTATCAATTTTATCTTCTTTTTTTTTCAAAATGGCCGCCAATGATGCTTGTTACCGGATTAATGATATGTGGTAACAAACATGTACTGGCCGCCATTTTTATAAAAAGGTGATAGTACCCCCAATAAAACACCGCTGCAATGCTATTTTCCAACTACAGGGGTGCATACCTTGCCAAAAACTCAATGAGGATTATTTCCCTTATTTGATACCGACCAAACCCCCATGCTGATGGCCTAACACTAACGTCTGCAACGTTTTGCTTTGAAAGCAGTGGCGTAAATCTGTGCCGGGGACTGGGGGGGGGGGCTTGCTGGTCTCCACAAGACACTTGGTGGCACAGGCTGTTCACAGATGTGCATGTTATGTATAGTTACGCCCCTTAACCTTACATCAAACGGCATTTTGGTTGTTGGCAAGTTCGAAAAATACCTCAAAACCCGCCTTTTTTGTTTCTCACCACGAAAACAGGGGGAGGGGGGGGGGGGTTGATCCAATTACCCATCCCCTCTGTAAAAAGTGTGGGGGATATATACCCCCATTTCCCCCCCCCCCGGATTTACGCCCCTGTGTTCGAAATTTGGTTTTTTTGTTGCGCAGACAGAAGTTACCCCGCATGTGCCGAATCACAGGTGGTAATTTTAGAGTTACAAATCAGTTCGCAAAGCTACGTGTTTTATCACCATTCTAGCGAAGTAAAAAAAACCTGTTTATAATTTATCAGTCCTGTAGAGCACAGAATCATGTGTGTATGCACACAGAAATAGGTCACCGTTCTGTACAGGGTGAGTCAAAAATAACGAAACCCAAAATCTAGGATATGAAAGCCCAATTCATAAGCTTTCTTTTAGTACAAGAATAATTCAAATCACTTATTTACTTTTCAAGTTACGGAATTTTAAACACAACCAGCGTTTTACAGTTTTGTCCACGGATCACAAGAAGGTATAAGTGTTCTTTCAGCAATTGTTTTCGTTTTGCTGAAAGAAGGTATTGTGACATGATCCGTGGACGGAACTTTAAAGCGATGTTTGTGTTTAAATTCCGTAACTTGAAAAGTACATGTCAGTGATTTGAATGATTCTTGTACTAAAAGAAAGCTTATGAATTGGGCTTTTATATGCAAGATTTTGAAAGTGCTACATGCAGAACTTCACTAAAACAATGGTCCCGACAATTGGGTTTCGCTTTTTTTGACTGACCCTGTATACAAGCCCGTGAAATACCCTCGTAACGTATTCTGCTAGACAGGACGAGTCCAAAAGTAAGCGACCGAGTTAGAAAACAATATTTAAGAAATCATGGATAGCTCCATTTAATAATTATAACATAGGAACAAAGTACATGTTATTGAATAGTAACTGTGAAAAGTTTACGTAATTTGCATATTCTAATCACAAGTTATCTCTATTTTAATAGAAATACTTAAAGATTCAGCAGTCCACCACTGATAACCGATACACATTGATGAATACTCTTTAAATACAATGAACCAGGGTTTTTCCTACCTCCATGAATGAACAAAAACTTGCAAAGTAAAAATGACACTGATGTCACTATCTGGATTTTTTGGTGGCCTTGGATTGATAAAAAGCTTATTTTAGGTTGCAACAATCCCGGAAAAAAACCTGCAGTATAAACAGCACAATATAAAAGCAGAAACAAATTTGGTATATTCCCGTTTATCTACATTTCGATTTGTGGCGTGATGTTGACAGAGTGTGCCGATGATTAATTTCTTTTCGCTTCCGTTGTTTCTATAACACATGTTTACATATTGCACAAAACCATGCAGGATGTTAAAGGCCCATGCGATATATTTTTTTATGCGATCCTTGCAAATGCATCTTTGTGTCTCATTTAATCATATTTTCAATTTTCGGTGTGCCATTTTCAAGGGTATTTTGGTGCCTTTTTGGTTTTATATGCTAATGCAAATTTCCGTATTCACGAGCAAAAGTGTGATGTGGTGTAATCATTTCAGCCGGAAACCATAATGTTACAGCTTTTTCAGCACCGAAAGTTGCCAAAATTTTGGATATAACTGTCGTGAATTTTTTTTCCTGTGGTGATTCGTTGTTGTGTCAGTACACGGTTAGTGAGCCACTGAGCAAACCTGACTCCCATATGTTTTCAGCAAGCAAATGTTTGGGTTCACAAGTTGAGCAGAAAACTCATAAACTGAACAATGTCTTCCTGCAATGACATCACAACAACAGCGCCCTCAGTTGTCCGGGAAAGCACGGATAATTATTTTAAATGTTTAAAGAAGTGCCTTTTCAAAAACTAACCAAAAACGGATGTCAAATACTTTTCATACATTAACAGAAGTACGTAGAAAGTTGTACGAAATATGTTCCTAAGAAAAATTCATCTCATGCATGTAACCTTTAACGAGTCAATCGGCCTCATGAGGGCGCTATAACTATGCCATTTCTTTGCTCGTAACCCCCCCCCCCCCCCCCCGCAAACGGGACGCTTGGATACGCTGATGAATTCACGCTATGATTGGATAGATTTTGCGTGACCTGTGACCTGTAAGTCATCACGGCCACGACTCTGCGATGAGATTTTAACGGCCGTTAAGATGGACTAAGTAATCACTCTTTTGTTCCCAATCATAAATGTATTTTTTTCGTAGAAAAGCGTAATAATGTATGAAAATCTGTAAAACTGTCGGTTTTGTAAATTTTCGATTCTCGTCACTTGCTCAGGCTCCTTTTCGAATTCACGAAGGATATATGCGACACTCAAAATTTGTCCACATGATCCGTAATGAAAAAGAAATCACATCCGGTATGGAATGTATGCTTTTTTATGAGAAAGTTTTCGGATAGCATTTGCGCGCATTGCCTATAACTGCGGTATTGAACAGCTGCAGCCAGATGCTTTATACATAGGTCATGAAATACCCAGAATGCCACCCCACTTCCTTCACAAGATTCTGTGAAGCTCATCAGCGTACCCCAGCGCCCTGTTTGCAGGGCGGGGGTACGAGCGAATGCCATTTACTGGGTACAAAGTACACAGTAAAATATTACGTTTAGTGAAGCAATTTAGTAATAACACTTCAATCTAAAAAATTAAAGAGGTGGACTATTTTTTTGTATTATTGCACCACGTAAACTTACGGTCACAAAAGCTAACGTTAACGGTTTTTTTCTCATTTCCCAAAATGGCGTTTTTACAGAGGCTCAATATGGCCAACTTGTATTACAATGCATACACTGATCCAAATGACAAGGTCGGATGTAATAGCAATGACCAGCGACAAGAAATGCCTGTTACAGATCATTAATTGCATTTTGCTGGAGCTCGGCGACGACTTGTGATTGACTTGTGATGACATGTGATGACTAATTGTGACATGTGATGACTTGTGGTAACGTGAACTAGCTTGTGCTAACTTGTGATTGACATTTGATTACTGTGTAATGACTAATGACGACATCTGATGACCATGGATTCTCCTTCAACCAAATGGGAACCTTCCCTGTGTAGCTTATTTCCGGATTAGTCCCATAGTTAATGATTTGTTTTCAGATGTCTTTTCCATGAACATCATCTTTTGTTTGTTTAAGGTAGTCATCGTTGTCGACACTGTATGATAATGCTTTGGGCTCCTGTTATATCGTCACCGTTTTCACGAACAGCCACATACTATATATATTATGTTGATTTTGAAGTAAAGTGTTTTCGAGATAATCACAAAAGAAGTTTCTCATATTTTAAAACTGCAAGAAATACTACTTTGCAACAACTTTGTGCAGCAAGAAAACCATCACACGATTCTACGTGAGCTGAAGTTTTACATAAACCCGGTAATAAGACTTAATAAAGCAGGTAATTAGTAGAAATTAATTAGTAAAGATATGTGGCTCTTCGTGAAAACGCAAATTCACGTTTCCGACATATTGGCCCTTTCTGTTTAACGTGTATTTCCATAGGCGCGCGTGAGTACGCGCGCGCGCCTGAAAATGTAACAAAGATATGTGGCTCTTCGTGAAAACGCAAATCTCATTTGACCTACTTTTACGTATTTCCGTGCAATGGGTTTTGTACGCGTTCAAAGGGCCAAAATATATGTGGCTCTTCGTGAAAACGCAAGATGCAGTTATCGAGATTTCTGCCCCTTGCAACATTAATGTAACTTAGAAATTAATGATGTTTTGCTTACAGAAACATGTCAAAATGGTTAAGTACATTGTTTTAATGCGAAATATTGAAAAAAATCAAAATCGAAAAAAAATTGTAATTTTGGACATATGTGGCTCTTCGTTAAAACGGTGACGATATATGCAAGTAGCCCTTTTGTGTTGTTTCTGCTGGATCACTCTCCAACCATATTGTATTCGATTCTTTCTCTCAAAGGTGTTCCGCGGTCCTTCAGTGGCCGTCACTTCATCTTTTCCTTCCCCTATCCTCCCAACGCCTCCTCCGTCAGACCATACCTGATCGCAACAGCCCAGACACCAGACGTACAAACTGAAGTCCGCTTTGAGCTTCCCGCTCTTGGATGTTCACAACTAACAATGCTCGGCTACCGCGAGGTGGCGCTGTTTAATATACCCCTGGAGAAAACCCGCAGACCCCCTGATGAATTAGGGTCCCGATCTGGATTACGTGTAGAGCGTCCCAACGATACTGTGATTGTTCAAGCAAACCATTCCATCACCCTGCAATGCGGGACTGCTAACCACGCAGACCGCTTTCTGGTTTTTCCAAGCGATGCCTTGGGCGTGGAGTATCTCGTAGCCTCCTCTCCGGTTTCAAGATCGCATCAGTTCACCGTTTCGACTACGCGGGACGACACAAAAGTCAACATCACCACAAGAGTTCCTGTGTTTGTCAACGGAGCTGACATTAAAGAAGGGCACATCGAACTGGAACTGGACATACACGGTTCTATCCACGTTTCCAGCTTGACAGATTTGACTGGGGTGCGCGTGACATCCAACTATCCCTTATCGGTCGTGTCTGGCAGCCAACTCGACGAGAGCGTACTGGCTCAGCAGTTACCTCCGGTAAAGCAGTGGGGACGAAAATTCATCCTGGCACGGTCGGGTTACCTGGCGTCATCTGTGCTGATCTACAGGATCGTCGTGCCGCAGCCAAACACAACTCTCTCGATATCGTCGAGCAGTGTCGCGATCGACGTACGGACTGGCGATACTGGGGCGACTTGGTACGATCACAGCGTGCAGACTGAGGGTGGGCTCGACACGCTTTCCTCTGATAAAGCAGTGATGGTCGTGAGATACACCTTGGCGACGGCCCTTCTGATCACACCAGTTGAGCTGTACACCAACGATGATTCGTTTGAACTAATGACTAGCAAGCTGCCGGAGCCGGTATCAATCGTGTTGAATGTTGCCTATCTGTGCGGGCAAGAGCACAACCTAAGCATCAGGAACGACGGTGACCTGCGTCCCTTTCGTAACATGAGTTTGAGCAGTCTCAACGAAGCCTTGTGCATCAAAGCTCTTGCGTTCAGGCACAATTCTGGGGATGGTAACCAGACTATGCACATCAGGGGACAGTTGTCCACCGCCACATTCGTCTGGGTGGACACGGGCGATGCCGAGATAGCGGGGTCCTACCGTGTAGCGGCCACGATGCAGTTCAATCAACCAGCGAATCAACCTATTGATTCCTGCCCTGTTATCGTCAGCTCGGAGGTGCCTTCTATTACCGGTAGGTCGGGACATTCACCATTTCCACCAATCAAACTATCCACTTTAACCAGGCGATAAGCTGGCTAATGACACTTGTTTGAGAAGTTAGGAGTGTGTATAATTGATGTCTACTTTGTACAGTCGTTAAACAAGGAACTGTGTTCATTTCTTTTTGGGGGTGATGCCGCGAGTTAATACGACTGTCTATATAAAGGGTCGATATATACTTGCTATCTTGCCATGACAGTTACCGCCAACATTGTCCTTAAACGCAACACTGGGGGTTGAGGCCTAAATTCACCCCATAGAAAGTTCGTAACGTCGGAATGGGCTATTGGGCTGGGTTACGTCTCGATAGTCCGAAGTCCCATTGGTCCGGAGTCCCATTGGTCCGCTTCGGACTATAGAGACGTCCCCATTGGGCTGCCAGTGATGTACTCCCTAATTTCAAGCGAGTGTATGACCGGCAGTAGCCTTTGAACTAACCACCCTGCTTTGCTGGTAATGGCATATGCTTGGCCATGTTAGTTTGCGAGTGTCAACACGTAAAGAAGACTTTTGTTGACCGGAGTTGTAGTCGAGTCCATCACCAGTCCATCATGAGTGTGGTCTCAAGTAAATCACAAGTCCTTTCACTCCAGTCACATGCAATTCGTGAACAATATAAACAAGGGACCCTTTTGTCAAAGATCATTTGAATAGCTTAAGACGACCTTAAACTGAAGTACTTGTGGTGGACTTTCATCATTAGGCTTCCGGTTACCCTACCTACCATATTTTGACAGCCTCTACCCTATTTTTTTTTGGAGGGGGGGAATGAGGGAAAAAACGAAAACCATCAATCACTACCTTTTACCCTTGACTACACGCAGACACCTCCGTGATCGTACAAAAAGAAAACAAAATGTCCCTACCTACTATACCTACCCTATTTTTTCAAATACCTTGTAATGGGAAGCAGAGCTATTTTTTTTTTGGGGGGGGGGCTTATCATCTTCATTTCACCTTCCCCCACCTTTTCCAATGTCCCCATCCTTCTCAAAACTTGATACCTGGATATTTCCCAAGGCATGACCACACCTTCTCCGGGAGAAGTATACACCAGCAAACAGCCCACCAGGACTCTGCGGCCCAACAGGTCTGACGATGCCGCGGTCATTGTCCCCCTCTGTGTGTCGGTAGCCGTCGTCCTAGCGATCATCGCCGGCCTCTGCTACTTCATGAAAAAGAACAAGTAAGTCGGTATTCGGAGGAAAAACAGACTTTAAACAGATAACTAACTTATTGTGGCTCGGAGAGTGAAGCCACTGGAAGAGAGTCAAACGTAGATAGGGGAAGGGTAGAGAGTCATTCTGATTTGGTCGGCTGGAAGCTTCGTCAGTGGTTCTGGTTTTTGTTTGAAATTTTGAAATGAAAATCATAAGTATTCTTCAGTAGAATCCCTTACTTTACCTTTTATCTAGAATTGAAATGATGTCGATCACTAGATAGCTAAACGCTCATAAAAAAAACCGAGGAAAATCAGGTAACGAATGGGTGGGGATGAACAACAACCTGTGCCACAGTTAATTTAGTAGATACCTTGTCAATTGACTCCAGGGCCGTTGTATTTCTGACTGTATTCCTGATGTGATAACAGTGGATAAATAACAATAGGCCTGAGACCTAACGGTCCATACTTCGTCTGGCGTCCCGACTTCGCTCCGATAGGAAAGCGCATATGTAAACAAAGCCATCAAGTCATTAGGTCTCAGGTCTTTTAGATACACGCGGTGATAAATCGCGGACACCGGGAGGGAGCCGAGGTTTATACAAGACCTGGTTCCTACTTTTGACATTAATTTGACTGCTGATTGACTGTTGCTGACTTGAGATAATTTCATTACGATTCTGCTTTTTCCTGCTCCCAAAGGATGTTCCCGGTTTGCCAGTGTAAGACACGGCGCGCCTACGACGTCTCAAATGCCGGCCCCGCAGACCAGACGACCAGACGCAAGGCAGCACCCTCTCCCGAAGTAATCCCGCTGCAAAACCGGTACTCGGTGTCCCTGCCTGATTTGCGTCCGATGATAGCGAGCAGGGAACATTACCCCAGCGGCCAGCATGCCCGGTTCCTCCACATGCGGCTGGCTCCGATCGCCGAGAACGAAGTCAACTTGAACACTGGCGCGCCGGCCAACTGCGACGCCCGCATGGTTCGGCACAACACCTTCCAACAACCGGTGGGGCATACCTACTTCAGCTTCAACCAACAACCGGGGGTAGACCATCGGCCTCCCCCAGACCCTACCAACCAGGTCCGCCAGCCGCCTAACCACGGGATACCGGAGATCTACACCGATAACATGCAGGCCACCGACAGGTCAGCCACGGGCCAGTTTGCCTCAATCGGGAGGCGTCGACCTTCGTCGGCCAAACCTATCCCCGTCCAACTTGTCTTCAACAAGCCGGAAATCGAAAGCCAATAAATGGAAAAATTCATAATGGTGTAGAATTGCAAGCTCATATTAATAGATATAGCATTGTTTTATTTACCCATCATCGCTGCTATATCAGATTTAACATGGCCCTAATAGCAGACAGGCAACTCCGAGAAGTAACGTTGCCAACACCTGCCCAGTCGCCGCAGAATCGACGGAAAGAGGGAAGGGGGAGGATTATTAATAGGTGGCGCTGTGCAATGCGGGTGGTGACTGTTTCCCGGCCCCCTTAATGGGAACCGGTAGCTAGCCATTGATTAGATCACCTCTGCGTGCGCATCATCATGCTTTATTTTCAAATCGCTGTTTAGCTCTGTGCATGGACGGTGATTCAACCACGATATTAAAAAAAACTCACCCCTGTCTTACTACAAAATGTGCGCAAAATCATAAGTGTCTCCATGAAGAAAACTTTCAAGCATTTCAACTGCATATGTTTTATATACTGAACAGTAATTTCTTGAAATATTTGCCAGAGACACTTTCGAATTCAGCAAAAATCGAAGCTCATCACTTCCGAAATTCGTGGCGCGGCTATTGTCATTTTTTGCGATAGGCTGGTTCGGGCAAACGTTACCTTTGTGATTTTCAATTCAGGAGGCGGGATTCAGACCTATACACGTAATGCATATCATTTACATACATCAGGAGGGATGCCTCCTGATGTATGCAAGATTCACCGCTAGCTACCTGTCCCGTTATTTGAAGCCCTAAGAACAATGGCGACAGGGAACCAGACTATGCGGGTGGTATACTGGACACCATCTAGCACTAGATGGCGCTATTTGTAACGACTCATTACCGACACTTTTAGACATGATTTTGCCAAAAAGGTGGTGTCAAACCCAAAACCCCTCCTTCCTCCCCTAGCGTCTCCCGTGAGTTCCTCGTGAGTACGTATGTCCGTAATTAATTATTTTTTTTCGGAAGCTTGAGGCCTGCGCTGAATGATGCAGTGCCGAACAATGAAATAATGTCAGTGAAGGACAAAACGACAAGTTTTAAAGCAACATTCACATCTTTCCTCCTCAAATAATAATCAAAAGTCAAACATGTTGAGGTTACAATGATGATTTATACACGGTAAAATAGTATTCTATTTTGCACTCTTGTATACGTGTATTTATTTATTCATTGTAAGTAATGTATTGACATAGTAACAGTAAAGGTATTATGTATCGCATTTTGCATGTAGCTCTTATTGTACCTGGAGAATGTCTTAAAGAAATTGTGTACCGTTCACTTGGTGTCGTTGTCGAGTCGGTTGAGGGCGGTCTTTAAGTCAAGGACAGTGGCGAGCTGGGGGGTGCAGAGTGGCAGATTGTAAGGGGATGGAGATTTTAAAAGCAAAATTTGGAAGTTGAATGAAGCAAACTCTGAACGGTGAAAGTGGGTAAACCGGACAAAAATGTTACAACGGGCAAACAAAACCATGGCTAAGCATGCAGCTGGTCAAGGAATCATTCGAATCGGATTATTTTTTTTCCAACCACGTTTTGCACTTAAAACAATAATCTGTATTTTATTTCCCAACTCCTCACCTCGCACTTATCCGCTTCCAAGAGACAGTCACAGCCTCCCTCATGGGCGTCGCGAGGGGGGGGGGGGGGGTCCCCCTCCCCCATCCGAAAAGAAAAAAAAGGAAAAGAGGTGTGAAGTCATATTAGCTATTAATTTAATACACATTTAACAAAATGGGCGTCTGCAGGGATGTCAATGGGGGTGGGGTGGGCAAAGGTTCCCCCCCTCCCCGTCCACCCTAAAAAAAATTGATCAATTGAGAATATTCTAGAGAAAGTACAAGGAGTTTGGGGAAACAATTTGCTTTGCCCCTCCTCCTACAAAAACTCCATGCGACGCCCATTGCCTCTCTAGAATAGTATACCCCATGCATGGAAGAGTTGTCAGGTGCCAGCAGGAAGCATTCTGTCTAGAATTCGGTCCGTAAATTGTAGACGATTGAGTAAAAAAAGGCAATCAATCGAACATTGGTCATTGATTATAATTACAAATTCTAGTGTAATTACTAACGTGTAAAGTTTACTTGATGTATGATGACTAATTTACTGTTGACATTTCGCGATCAGTTGCCTTTAAACAATTTTACATTATATCGCAGATGTCATGTTTATAGGACCCATGACATGAATTTTCCTTCGGAAATATTCTGTGCTATTTTCTACTCCTCCTAAATGTATGAAAACAACTTGACATCCCTTTTTGGTAAATCCTATTAAAAAGTGCATTTCTTTAAATATTGTTTTTTCTAAATCCATGCTTTTCTGGACAAATGAGTGCGCTGGTGCTGTGATGTCATTTCAGGGAGACAATGTTCATTTAAGGGGTTTTCTGTTCCAATTGTGAACCCAAAATTTGCTCATTGAAAACATGTTGTGAGGAAATTTGCTCGTTGGCCTACTGTCATGTACTAACACTACAACGAAACAACAAAGAAAAGAAAATTTATGACAGCAAAATATAAGATAAGATGAGATAAGATAAGATTGAACTTTATTATCCCTCAGGAGGGAAATTAAAATGGCCTTGACAAAGAGTGGGTTATAAAAACATAAAATCATTAATTAAAAAGATGTAAACATGCAAAGTAGTTACCACAAACTTATAAATCCAATAATTACAGGTAAAAAACAAACTACTAATACACATAATACATTACATTAATGAGGGGTCAGGGTCAGCCACACGGCAGTTCATCGTTCCAGTTGCTCATTGTACCATTTGATAGCTGCTGGAACGAATGAACTGCCGTATCGCCGTGTCCTGATCTTTCGTTGTAAAAAGCGATTACTTCTGGAGTTCGTTTGGAAGTCGGCATTCAATGGGTGATGTGAGTCGGAAAGGACCGTCTTAATTTTATTGCACGTTAAAGAGACCTGTATAATGCCTCTGGAGACTCTTGTTGTAACCCAATAGCTTTACTGGCTTGCTTAACTATTCTGTCTAGCCTAATCCGATCCTGGCACCTCATATTTCTGTAAAAACAAACAAGACAAAATGTGAGAATACTCTGTACAATGGACTTGTAAAACAGTTGTAAAATAGTTTTATCAACGTGAAAAGACTTGAGTTTGCGCAAAAAAACAAACGTTGTTGCAGCTTGTTATATTTTGATTTGGTACATGCGTCAAATTTTAGTTGGTCATCAATTTCAGTTCCCAAGTATTTGTAAACAGACACACATTTTCCTTTAATATTAGCTGGTGTAATTGGAGATTTCTTTTTCCTAAAATCAATCACCATCTCTTTGGTTTTGTTGATATTGATTTCTAGATAGTTATCATCACACCACTGAGTAAATTGTGCCACCAAAATATCCAAAATTCTGGCAAATATTGTAATAGATAGATGTAACATTGAGGTTTCTGCCTTAAATGACGTCACACTTTTGCTCATGAACTAAAATTCAAATTTCTAAGTGAGCATAAAAACCAAAAAGGCACCAAAATCCCCCCCCCCCTCAAAATCACAAAATGAAAATCGAAAATAAGGTTAAAAGGGGACACAAAGGTGCTTTTAAAAGGACTGCGTTAAAAAAATACATTAGCCTGCATGGCCCTTTAAGTAAATGTATCAACGTGCGTGTCATGCCATACTGATACAGTCATACTGAAAGTATATCACCCAAGTGTTGTTTTTTGGAAGGAAACAAATATTATTGTAATCCTTTAGTTTCGGATTCAATTCAGAACTATATTCGCAACGATGCAATGATTTAGGAATTAATCGAAAGTACAAGCTTGTCGCTAAAATAGTTTGCACGAAGCACATGATATTGTTTTGGTTGTGTTTGGCTAGTCTCTGAGCAACATGTAATCTTGGCCGTCCCCTTTTTCTTTTGTTATCTGTCATGAATGTCATTTTATTATCAACAGCTCAAGTGACACACGCAGCATACATTTTATGGTCACATTTTAGCCGCATCTTCTATCCGCAATGCAAGCTGCGAATGTTGTATAGCGCCACCTGTTGGCAGCTCATGAACTGTTTCAGCGATATAAGTTTCGACTCACCGGGCTGCATCAGTGATTTAGCCATTCCATTCTCATAACAATTTCCATTTGCGGGAAATGGTTCCTTAGGGAGACATTCCCATACTCTTGTGTACAAAAAATCCTTATCCTATCCTCACCAAATTTAGTAAATTTGGGTTTTGCGTCACGAAGAATCGATTTTAAGTTAGCCTCATGTTTTTAATGCCATCCTTGAAAATGCAGCTTTGTGTCCCATTTAACCTTATTTTCGATGTTTGTTAAATGTTGAAAGAAGTGCTCTTTTCAATAAAACAGACCAATAAGGGATGACAAATATTTTTTAATACATTTAAGAGGAGTAGAAAATTGCACAAAACTGTTCCTCAGAAAAAGTAATTATGTGGAGCCTTTAAAATTTTGCCTATTTATTTATTTATTATAAATCCTGTGTTGATCTTTCAGTGGAACACTGTTTTTTAAACGTGGCCAGCACTTACAACAAACATTCGGTAGTATAAAAATGGGGGGGGGGAAGCAATACAAACATTACAAAGAAATAATTAAGAACATTAATAAACAGTAAAACGAGACAAGGTTAATCACGATTGTTACATTGGCAGTAAAAAAAAATATAAACAAGACATACATGTACCATATAATATTAAACTCTCAGATTCTTGTAGTGGCGTTTAAACTGGCAAGAGTGGGAGGCAGTGATATTTAAGTGTCGCAGGGAGGTCATTGAATAAATTAACTCCACGAGGTGCAAGTTTACGTTTGCCCGAGTTACATTTGGATAAAGAAGGAACTAGATGACCTTGAGAAACAGGCCTGGTATTGTATGAGTGGGTACTAGAAACAAAATGAAGACAGTTGCACAGTAATTGAGGAGGCAATTTGGATGTTAAACTCTTATATACCAATAAGTGAAGATCTCGTCTTTCAGTTAGAGATTGCCATCTAAGAGTATATAAAAATGTCTGTTGGGGATATTCGGGGGAGGCCCAGGATAATTCTACCAGCACTGTTTTGGATTTTATTAAGTTTGGTCAGCAACTTTGTTCCCTCAGAGTTACCCCATATGCAGCATCGCAATCAGGGGCGGCGGACCGGGGGGGGGGGGGGGCACTTGCCCCCCTCCCCCCCCCAGTACCCCAGTTGCGGACATATATGTGCCCCCTCGAGCATAAAGGTGCCCCCTCGAGATGAACTACAAAACTTGGCCTAAAATTTCGGATAATTTATTTTCAGTGACCATTCCCCAAAAGGGTCTAGATCGAGAGTTCTGATATCAACGAGGAATAAGAAAACCAAGCCCCAAAACCCTTACAATGCGCCCTGAAATTGGGCACATAATACGTATATAGTTTGCATAATGGCCATTTTTGAAGAGCGCCCCCTTTTTTTGGAAGACGGTACCAGCCCCCCCCCCCCCCCCCCCCCCCCTCCTGTTTACGGAGGCCAAGCGTCTGGTGAAAAAAAAACCGTGTCGACATTTTAGCACGGATGTGCCAAAAACAAATGCTGGATACGCTGCTGAAGATACCTTTTACCGAGAAAAGTGCCCCTTTTTGGTGACCCCCCCCCCTTTGAAAAATGCGTTCCACCACCGCTGATCGCGCAATAGTCAAAGAACCAGGGTTTTGTATAACAAATTTAGTATGCCGTGAAGTAGGACCTTGCATCCCTAAGGCGTAGAAGATAACGTGTCGCCCTAAGACATTGATAGGAATTCATATCTTTTAATCAGTTGCTTCTTTTCAGGCCGCTATCATTGCGAGAGACATAAACGAAAGAGATGTTGTTTGGCAAGAATGGGCGCGCGATCTTGCGGTAAAGCGAGATCGATTGCCTTTTTCCTAATCTACAGTAGGGTCTCTCCTGTTGTACAAAAAAACCGGATAATTAACCTTGAAAAATTTGACGACCTGAATTTTGAGGGGAGTGGAATTGTGAGCAAAGAAAATGAAAATTCATTGTAACTGGATTTATTTGAAAGACTTGTAGTTGGGCATATAATAGATAGGGGAAATATTTTGGGGAATTGATGCTACAAGCATGGATTTTGACACACAGTCAGAGTATGCCATAATGAAGGTATTTGGCTATGGGGCCATCGCTGATTTGTCCTTTGAAAAAAAATATAGGTACAGAATTTACAAGCAATTTTCAAAATTTTCAAAATGGCTGCGATTGCTTGTTATTCTACCTATATATATTTTTTTTCAAAGGACAAATCTGCGATTTC